TTTGAGAAGATCCATTCCTGTCCCTACATTCTCAACAGAGGACAAAAAAATCTACGCGGAGAAAGCTGAGGCAAGGGAACTCATTTACAAGGATAAAAGGCTTCATGTCCTCAAGACAAACCTCTCATTTGGAATTTGAACTTTCTGTCTCTCTAGGCCACTTTTTCCAAGTTGCACAACCACAACTATGAAAAAGATGAAACTCCAACCCATACTAGAGTAACTGGGCTCTGAAATGCTAACAAAGAAGTTACAATTTAAGAAAATTAAGAATATAAAAGTTACATGTATATAAACCTAGACTTACATTTATGTAAAAGTAAATACTGAATATTATATTAGATGTAGAATAAAACTTTTAACCTTCTGTGCTATTATATAATCTTTAGTTAATAAGAATAGCTTCAACCTACCCATGTTTCAGATACTATGGGTGTCAAATGTTTGGTCCATTCAGTTTTCCAATAACCTTAAAAGATAGCTATACTTAGCCTCTTTTTATGGAGAGAAATGAAGGTGTAAAAGAGCTGCACTTTTTCCTGGGAGCCTCACAGCTAGCAAATAATCCAAGTCTGTTTGAGCTATATCTTTTTAGTTTAGAAGCAAAATGAAATATCCCAAAGTTCTAAAGTAAGTTTCTAAAAGACTAGATATTGTAGTAAAAACTTTCAGGATGTTACAGGAAAAGCATTTGAAAAATAATTTATGAGTAAAAAAAAATGAAGCAATGCCTTTAAAGTTAAAAACAGCCTATTATTGCTACCATTTTTTAAAAAAGGAAAATACTGTTTGGAAATAAAAAACTTGTTTTACATTCAAATCCAAATTCAAGACTGGGTAAGATCATGTTGATATGTTCACAAGATCCCATTAAGTATGTGTACTGGGACATAGGTCAGTAAGGAACACCTCTCCCTTCTCAAACATTCGGGATATTGGTGGGGACAGACTATATACATAATACAATATGACAAGTGCAATAAAAGCACGAGACTTGGGTTTTCACAGGCAAGTGAGGGGCAGTACCTAACCCAGACACGGGTGGTAGGAAGAGATTGCTCATGGAAGTGTACTGGAAAAAGAGGAGCAAAGAGTTAGCCAATGGCTGAGTATTATACAAGTCCAGACTGAAAGCAAAGCTTGAGTGCAGACAAAACTAGTGAAGGGTTTTATGTAGGGAAGTAAGCTCATCAGGACTGTCTTTTATAAAGGACATTGGGGTTTTAATGAGGGCCTCTTGCTCACTCAGACTACATGAGCTCTGCTTCCAGTTCAGCTTTTTGCTGCTTATTTTGAAGACAGAATCTCATGGGCTTTCTGCCTGGCTGGCTTTGAATGGTGATAATCTCCAGATCTCAGCCTTCTGGGTAACTAGGATTATAGGTGTGAGCCACCAGATTCTAGTAGTCTTGTCACTTTTAAAATGAGAAATAAAATAATATAAAGTACTAGAATATAGTAAGCACTCAAAACTGGTGGCTCTTACTGTTAATGCAAGAAGATCCATATGGGGGGTCCAGATGAGACACACTGAGGTCTTCAACAGGGATGAGAAACAGGCAATCTTGAGAAATATTTAGGGAATAAAACTGACAAAATCTGATGATGGCCTGGCTGTTTAAGTGAAGGTAAGAAGGCTTAGTGACTGAAAGGCTGTTTCTAATGGTACCTCTGACAAAGAGAACAGAGAGCAGGTCTGGGAGAGAGGGCTATGAAGAGAAGCAGGTACAGCAGTGACCACAAGGTCAATTGGCAAATGTGGGATGTGAGTGCAGGTGTGGCTTGGAATTTGAGGACCAAGTATTTTGAGTATCTCATACATGCAAAGGGATGAGATTGCCCATGGAAGGCATGCTCAAGTCAGAAGAGGAATAAACCGAGACAAGAACCTGGGAATACACATGACAAAAATAAATCACCTAGGGATAAAAGAAAAGAACTGGAGAGGTCAAGAAAAACTGGGAGAGCTTAGCATGATGGAAGCTGAAGGAGCAGGAAATCAAGGAAGGAGTTCAGTGGGACCCAGCGGAGCTGAGAAACTCAGTATGTTCCAAATGTGTCCTCAAGAATTCAGCATAAGGCAAGGGAGACAGATGCTCAACTACTGGTAGTGAGGAAGTAGAAAGAGTCTATCATAAGCCTAGTAAAAGGGACAGAGTATATATTTGGAGGAAGGAATGTAAGTTCAAAGGATAGGATCAGCACTATTGCTAAGATAAAGAGCTTTGGACATTCTGTGAGCTGAGAGACAAAATGAAAAGGATAGCAGAGGGTGATGATGCAGGAGACTTGTTGTCAGAACAAATCCTTGAGGAAACAGGATTTTCTACAAATCTCTGTGTCAGGTACCCTGCAAGGCCATGAGCATGCAGAGATGAGTCCAACTGAATCTTCCTCTGAGAAGCTCTCAGTCTGGTGGAGGAAGGAAACTGTGGACAAGCCAGCCAGAGTGTGAAATGGATGCTAGTGTTGGATACACCCTGCCAGAGGCAGCAGGGGGTGTCCATTTGAAGTGGGTTTCCTGAACAGAAGTCTATGACTGCTTACCACTCACCCTGTGTGCCCAACAGTGGCTGGGATCCAGGAAGTCAATGGTTATTTTTCAGTGAATGAACAAAATTTTATGAAGCAGTATCAAGACTACTCTAAGACAGATAAAGAGATTGAGGGTGTTAAAACAATTAAATATTAACTAACATCATAGTTCACAGACTTAAGTGCTATGGTCTGAATGCTTGTATCCACCACTAATTTAATATGCTGAAACCTAATTCCCAATACAATATGGTAAGGTCTTTAGGAGATGATCAGGTCAACAGGACAATCATCATGTAATTAGTGCTCTCACAGCAGGAACAGCTCAAACATGGCTTTGGTGGTAAGTACATCCATTGTTCTTTGTAAACTCTGCCTGTGATCACCCAAATAGCTCCCAGACAATTTGGGTTAAATCTCTCATCCTCATTCTAAGTGGTTTCCAAGTCCTGCTGCTGCTGCTGTCTTCTCTGTTTCTTACTTACAGTGCCTTCAGTAAGTGTCCCTTTCCACCCTATCTCAAGTTTCTCAAATGGCCAATTAGGTTCTTCTAAATCAATTTCCAATTTATAGTATCCTTTATCAGAAGAGGACCAAGAGCACTCTTTTGACCTGTAGGGACCCCATGAGGACACAAAAAGAAGAAATTGTCCAGACAATCTGCCAGAGCCTTAATCTTGGAATTCCCAGCCTCCAGAATTGTGAGTAATACATGTTTCAAGCCATCTATTTTATGGAAAGATGCTTCTTCACTTATAATGGGTTATGGCCCAGTAAGCCCAGGCTAGAAAGAAAATATCCTGTGCTAATAATTGCACAAATATTAGCTTAGCAGAAACACAGATAGAGCATCAACTGTTTCCCCTCATGATCACATTGCTGGTTGGGAGCTGCAGTTCAGTACCACTGATCAGCATTCTAAGAGTCCTATATTGTGTATCACAAGCCTGGGAAAGAGCAGTTTCTACTAAATGCATAGAGCTTTACCCTACAATACAGTGCTAACAGTCAAAGACAAGTCATCAAAGGCAGTACTTTACTATACTTCATTATAGCAGTCTATATGGACTAAAATACTTAGAAAGTATGCATCAAAGAGCTTTTATAGAAGGGTAGCTGAAGGTTAAGAGAATGGAGAAGAATGGGATATTTGGTCCAGTCACATGGGAAAGACCTAAGTTGGTTCCAGGAACTCTCCTCTGCCAAATATATCTCCCAATATATTAGCTTATGCCTAAAATCTTTTAAACCTAAGAAGGATAAAAATTTTCATCTCAAAATTGCAAATAAAGGCTAAAAAGGAAATGTGTATCAAGACTGTACATACCCAAATCCATTTGTCATAGAATGCAATCAGTCAGGCAGATAATACGGCAGGTGAGCACAAGTTCTTTTCAAATACATCTTTCAGAGGTTCTAAAGCAGTTTTTTAAAAGCCTTTGGGGAAAATCTCACATTTTCTGAGAATCTAACAATAGCTATGGTCTCCCCCTACCCCCAACTCCCTTGTGAGGGGTCCCTAAACTCCACTCCCAAACCCCAGATAAGAGGTGGGAAACAGCAGAGGTACAGTCTCCCTAAACAGCTGTGGGACTAGGTATCACAATGGACAGTCTCTACCTGTGTGTCCTTCTCATCTGTAAGGCTCTTCATCTTTAAGTTACCAGTGTCAAGGTCAATGTCCTGAATACAGTAAGTGTACACTTTAGATGTGAGCTAAAATAATTACGGCCATAAGACTTTGAACTCATAGTTCTCAAGTTTTCAGACTTCAGGTACTTATGAATGAGCATCAACTTCATATCCTGACAGACCCAGAATGCATGGCAAGTGCTACGAGCTTGCTCTATAGGGTCTGCTAACTTTCTAAAATGGTTTTAATCTAACAAGAAAAGTCTACAAGTCTACCTCTCCTATTCTAGAAGCTATGCCTCAGTTTCAGGGCAGAATACAATGTCCTCTCCCACCCACACACAAAAAGAAAGATACAATTTATACAATGTATGTTTTTAGTAGAATCCCTTACCTTAGCATTACAGACCCTTATACTTTCATATCCATATAATAGTCAAGAGGAAGGCAATATACACAGTGCTCCCATTTTAAGGATTAGCAGAGAATGTATCCTTTAAGTGATCATACGAGAGGGCCTTCCAAGCACCTGGACCCAAGCCATACTTCTATAAATATTTCTGTAATGCCTTTGTACTAAGAAGGGGGAAAATATTTCTCTTAAATTCTAAGAGGAAAAACCTGTGACAGTGATAACAATAGTACCATGCTTTTACAAAATAAAAGCCGTTTCAATTTGAGAAATGTTATATATGATTAAATGGTTTATGATATTCATTAACAAATCAAAGTAAGCCAATCATCTATGACTTAAAAACAGAGGCACAATTCACTGTGTATAATTTTTTAAGGCACAATTCACCATATATAACAGGGGAAAGTTTCATACTTACCTATAGCACAATATAAAATCTAGAGAGGAAAAAAGGGAGGGAAAAATTAGTAAGGATCAGCATTATACGTTCATTTCATATAAACTTCTTTCAATAAGAATTGAACAGTGTCTGCCCACAATGCTAAATATGAAAAACAAAACATTCCATTGTTAAACTTGGCTATAGAATATTGAACAAAATGTAAATTCTTAGTACATTTGTTTGCTCACTTTTAGTTTGTGCATCTTCAGAAGATATCCTAAGGGAGACTTAATCTTTACTCCGGGGTTTATCAGAGGTTAAATATCTCTTTTGTAACACAAAAATCTCACAAGAGCGATAAGGCTATGAGATCTCCAGTGTCTCATTCTCCATAGAACTGTCACAGACTGTGCAATATGTGGTCAGAAGAGCCTTTGTTAGCCCTTCAATGTACACATTCATTTTATAAGGCTCTACTTTCAGTCCTCGCCATGCCTCATTCAATATTCCTACTTCTGAGTATTTTCGGATCCAGTTCCAAACCTGCATTTTTCAAGCTCTAGGCCTACATTCTAAACTGCTTTAGAACTATCCATCTACTGCACCAGGAGCAGCTCATATGGCTTTGATGGGAAGTACATCCATTGTTCTTTGTAAGCTCTGCCTGTGATCACCCAAATAGCTCCCAAACGATTTGGGTTACATTTTTCATCCTCATTCTAAGTGGTTTCCAAGTCCTGCTGCTGCTGCTGTCTTCTCTGTTTCTTACTTACAGTGCCTTTAGTAAGTGTCCATTTCCACCCTATCTCAAGTTTCTCAAATGGCCAATTAGGTTCTTCTAAATCACTTTTCAATTTACAGCGTTAGTATAGCCCTGGTAATAGTAGTACATGTGTGTATATATTTATATATTTATAGAATATATGTAAATGTGTATATATACCACCTATATACACATATATGTATATATTTATATATATACATGTTCATTCAAATCCATCTACAAAACTGATTTAATAACCAAAGCTTTTCAGATACTACTTCAAAGCTTTCAGAATTTCTATGAACTTCTTCAGTAGTTACTATACTATTTGACAGACATCTCTACATTCAGATGAAAATAACCAAGACTCAGAGAAGGTAGGTTCTGGGTTGTGACTAAGATAGGAAATAATGGCCAAGACCCAGAACCTTGGTTTTGTTTTATATTTTCTCTCTCTCTCTCTAGGTTATTTTTTAGGTATAGTTTCATGTTTTGCCCAGAGAATGCAATTCTCCTACCTATTCATCCCACATAAGTTGGGTTTTTGGTTGTTTTTTTTTTTAAAGCCTGGGGCTTAAGCTCAGGGCCTAGGCACTGTCCCTAAACATCTTCTGCTCAAGGCTAATACTCTACCACTTGAGCCACAGCACCACTTCTGGCTTTTTCTGTTTATGTGGTACTGAGGAATTGAACCCAGGGCTTCATGAATGTTAGACAAGCACTCTACCACTAAGCCACATTATAAGCCCCACAGTTGGGTTTTAAATACATACCATCATGTCTTCCTTATTGTTGAGATAGGGTATTGTTAACTTTTTTCTCAGGCTGGCCTCAAAGCTTTCATCTCCAGATCTCTGCCTCTTAAGCAGCTGCGATTACAGGTATGAACCACTACAGCCATCTCTATTTTTTCTGTTATATTATTTCACTATATATCAATTATGAGATACCTACAGAGGCCAGAGCTCAGCAAAATTCATCTAAAACATTACGGATAAGACTATTAAAAAACTATACTTCACTAGGTTTTGGGTTGTTTTTTTTCTTGTCAGGGGCAGAGGGGAAAGGGCCTGAATTAAAAAGCAAGCTATACAAATTTGCTGATAACTGAGAAAAGAACAGAAGCCTTTCCATACGACAAACCACAAAATCTTTCTCAAAAGAAGGTAGTATTATAAACCTTAAATGCGACTTAATATTGAAAAGATAAGCTGAACCTCTAGTTACAAAGCTGAGGAAAACAAAAAGATGTATCTAGATTAAAATGAGAAATGAATGTCTAGAGTGAAAACATGCTATGAGATAAGACATAGGCAGTGCCTGTTGTGTTCATGTAGGTGACAGGATCTGGCTGCCTGCCACAATAAGACTATCCAGGAGGGGGCTGGGAAGGTGGCTCAGTGGTAGAGCCCTTGCTTGCATGCCTGAGGCCCTGGGTTCGATTCCTCAGCACCACAGAAGCAAAAAGGGAAAAAAAAGCCAGAAGTGGCACTGTGGCTCAAGTGGTAGAGCACTAGCATTGAGCTGAAGAGCTGAGGGACAGTGCCCAGGCCCAGAGTTCAGGCCCCACGACTGGACCCCCTCCCCCAAAAAAAAGACTATCCAGGAGGAGAAAGGAATGGTATTATTCAGGGCTATCATATTTCCTTTGCATATAGAAGACTAGATCTTTTCTTAGACTGAACCACCCTTTTTAATCACACATATTTTATAAGGCCTCCTTTACAAGAGGAAGATAACAATCACAGATGATATGACTTATCTGCACATTAAAAAAAAGTCCTCATTTTAAAAGAAATAAAAAGAAAGCTGGGCAAAAGTGACTTACTTTTGTAATTCTACCTACTCAGGAGGCTAACTAAGATCCTATGACCACAGTTTGAAGTCAGCCTAGGCAGAGAAATCCGTAACATTCTCATCTCCAATTAACCAGCAAAAAACCCAAAACTGGAGATGTAGCTAAATTCATAGAGCACCAGCATGAACAGAAAAGGCTGAGCAAGAACATGAGCCTCCAAGTTCAAGCTCCAATACTGGCACAAAACAAAACAACTAGAACAACAACAAAAACTACATGCACAGAAAGAAAAAAAGAAATTTATTTAGAAAAACATGTATTCCATCCAAGTGCCAGTACCTCAAGCTAATAATCTTGGCTATTTAAAAGGCTAGAATCTGAAGGACTGTGGTTTCCAGGCCAGCACAGGCAGTACAGGTCTCTAGGCTCCATGTCCAAATGAAACAGCAAAAAGTGACTCAAGAAGAAGAGCAAATCCCTGAGTTCAAACTCCAGTTCTACCCAATGTCCCATACACCTATGATATACATTTACACACACACAGACACATAAATTCATACTGCCAAATGTATGTTATACACATATACACATACATAGTCATGTGTATTTCACTTGAACCATGCCCTCAGCTCATGTGTATTTCAATATGTAAATGTCTAGAGATCTAATGATAGCCATGCAGCCAAGCATACAAACTTACAATAAATAAGCTTGGATTTAAAAATAAAATGACCAGGAAAAACTCTAAGTATAGGAGAATTAAAGAGCAGAAGTACAAATTAACACTAGAAAAACAGTATTAAGATATAATAATCGAAATGTTAACAAAGTAGAGAAGCTGAAGCAGTATATTATTATCTCAAATGAGTTAGCTCTTGTTTATGTATAAAGCATGATGTCAAAATAATCTCTTAGCTTATGCCATGGATTAGAGTAAATTGAAACTATATCAGAAAACACATCCTCTCTCTTTAAATTCTGTTGAGGAATAAAACCAGTGCCTACTCTGTAAAAAGACCTTGGAGGTCAGATTTTTTAAAAGCAATTTTGTAATAAACTGGGAGTAACTTAGGATAAAATGAAAAGTCACAGCTAGCTTAAAATAAAACAATTTCACGATCAAGATTTTTTTTATATTTTTTTTACGATCAAGATTTTTTAACATACATACACACAAAATGATATTAGAGCTGTCTATATTAAAGAAATCTGAGATTCTCACTTTTCAAACCTTCCCACTAATTTAATAACTGAAGTGAGCAAGAATTTCAACTCTCTCAATACATATTTTCCATCAGTCTCATTACTTTTGCAGTACTAACACTAAACCAGTAGGCTCCCTTTCAACTAAGTATACTAGCAGGAAATGCTCTAGTACTTCCAAAAGAACAGAACATACACAGTGAATAAATTATTCCAAGACACTATCTTCATTTCACTTAAGCTTCTCTCTATACAAACAACAGAAATCTAAAAACAATCCCCTAAACATCACTGTTTTTTGGCTATTCAAACACTGATTTAGGTACTGTAGCACAGGGAATCTGAAGAAAAAAATCTCGTCAACTAATTTTAAGGTACAGAGATTATTTATGTGGGCAGACTTAATCCAACTAATGTAAGCAGTTCTCAGTTAGGTACTGGTCATCATGACTGTAATCCTAGCTACTCAGAAGGCTGAGATCTAAGGATCATGGTTTAAAGCTAGCTTGGAAGGAAAGTCCATGAGATCCTAATCTCCAAAATAAACTATCCAAACAGCTGGAAGTGGAGCTGTGGTTCAAGGGATAGAATGCTAGCTTTGAGCAAAAGAAGTTCAGGGAGAGTGCCCAGGCTCTGAGTTCAAGCCCCAAAGAGCAGTTCTCTAGCACATGCATGGCCTTGGGTTTGATCCTCAGTATTGCAAAAATAAGTAAAAACAGGGTTAAGGCACATGGCTCAAGTGATTGAGTGCTAGCCTGGCAAGAATAAGGTCATAAGTACAAATCCCAGTACTACTGTTAAAAAAAAAAAGTAATCTTTTCCATCTGAAGGGTAGGACAAGGCAGTGACATTCAAAGAACAAGCCCCAGGACTGGCAACAAACAACAACAACAACAACATGTAACCCTTTCTTTTCCTGAGCCTTTCCATTTTTTACCTATTGAATACTGTACCGATTTTAAAGTGTTATTTCAATTTCAAATGTATTTTGAGCTAAAGAAATTATTTATTTTTGTTACTATCAATTAGCTGTATAAGGGAGTTTCATTTTGATGTGTTCATATATTCAAAAATGTATCTTGGGCTGGGAAGATGGCTCAGTGGTACAGTGCCTGCCTTGCATGCCTGAGGCCCTGGGTTCGATTCCTTAGCACCACATAAGCAAAAAGAAAAAAAGCCCGAAGTGGCGCTGTGCCTCAGTGGTAGAGTGCTAGCCTTGAGCTGAAGAGCTGAGGACAGCGTCCAGGTCCAGAGTTCAGGCCCCACGACTGGACCAAAAAAAAAAAAAATG